ACAAGTATCATGTAATGCCAAATCATCATTTACAGTTAACACACCATCTGTCTTTCTTTTTCTAGAGACATCTTCCTTTTCTATGAAATCCCTATCAGGTTCTTCATTCTCCTTATTGTCATTGTCCTGATCATCATCATCACTGTCATCACACAGACCAACCAGAAAATCGGGAGTATACAACCCATTTAAATAAAGCTCTTCCACATTATCAACTTCATCTTTACTACCTATAAAGTAGTATCATTACTTAGCAAGAAAGCATGGGATCCATTGTTAAGTTAGCAGCAAAATTTTGTTGTAACATGGCTTATGCATGACAAATCATTTCAATACTCAGCAGTACTATATATTACTCAGCAATCAACACAGGCTATGTAGCTACATTACACACAAAAGTGACAATATGCATGCTTCTTTTATTATAATTTATAAGCGTTATAATGCATGCATGCATTGTATGGCCCCCTTAGCTTACCATATGTGACCACAATTCCCTCATATATTCCACTTTTATCCTATACATGACAGACTGATCCAACTTCCAAGATATCAGCCTTTTCTATGATATAGCTAGCCTTTGTAGGTGCTACAGTCCTGTCCACTTTAAACAACACCAAGTAGTAAGGAGCTGTGACGGTAAAATCGAGTGCAAGTGCCATAAGTATGATAAATTGTCTAGCTTACGATTTTTTCCTGCAAATAAAAACTAGGTCTGCTCATTTCTAGCTCTCTTCCCTTCGTTCTTCGCTCTAGCTGCGACCTGCAAGCTGCCTTCTCCATCCACTCGCCTCTACTGTGCTGCTGCTGTGCGCTGCGCATGCGCAGGGAAGTTTGGGCGTGGTACCGTCGTAGTTCGATTTCACTCACGTGGTAGAGGGAAAGTAACTGCGCCGCAGCTACTGGTCTTTTTTTTCACATGCTACTGTACTTGTACTGGCATTTTTGTGGGTTTAGCAGTTTTGCCAAAATATAATTTTGGCAATTTTTTGGCGATCCTTTAGTTACTGGTACATGTAGTAGTAGCTAATTTGGTACAGTACGTCCTCGATTATCCCAACACCTTTGTGCACCTCTATTGGGAGAGATATTCAGATAGCTGAATAGAGGATATACATGCTCAATATATTCAATGCAAAATAAATGTATTCATTGCATACCGTAATAACTTTCAAGAAAGAAATTAGTTCGTTGGACATCAACTTTCCATTGGCAGCAATGGAGAAAAGATAGAAAAAGGCTTGGTACTAGGAAACCGCTCTTTATTTCTTGATAGCAATCTTTCAGGTGACTACTAGACCATTAGAGCCTCAGTATGCTTTCTAAGCTTCCAAAAAAGGCATCAAGAAGGTAGCAAGGCAAGAAAATGAGTTTTCCCCCATTGAACTCATAATAGACTTGACGTCCAACATGGCGGCCAATTTATTGTGTAGGTTGGATATATGGTACTTAAAAGTTATGAATATGCCTAGCACGCATATCCTCTATAGTCTGGATAAGTGAAATACAGCACAGAATACAGTAGACCGACCTATCCTATACTTTTCTGAAAATTAAATAGACATGACTTTCCTTTCTCTAACTCCCAGAGCATCTCAGGCTTCTCTTTAATGGTACCATATACTGGGATATTTTCGCGTCGCTAAATTTTTTGTGAATATTGCATTTGTAAGATTTCAGGAAATAATATTTTCGCAAATAGCCTGTAAACTCCACCACGTGGCAATGTAAATTTAGAATTTTGCAATTTTTATTTTCACAACGAAGCAAAATACGCGAAATTCGCGAAAATTTGGCTACTCAAAAATTTCCCAGTATATGGTATTTCTTTTGTTAAGCTCCGTAAGCTCCTTGCTGCAGCAGCCATTTTAACCGGTTATTAATAAATTAACTAGTCTGAGCATGGGCATTAGAAACAGCCATGCGTTTGGATAAACAAGGGTTTGGATAAAAGAGGTACTGATAATCGAGGACGTACAGTATCAGCAATTTCTCCACACAGCTGCCATCATTTTACATAATAATGACACTATACTTGTATGTTTGCATATGCATGTACATGTATATTCAGTGACGGATCTGGGCCCGGGCCTAGACTGGCCATGGCCCCGGGCATCAGAAGTCAGTAATGAGATTCATTAGATGCAATGTAAACAATTCCCTGCCTCAAGTTTTGATAAAGCAAACCACAAGCCACACCAGAGTACTTACAAGTGCTTGAAAAGCATTATAAGCACAGCATAACCATAAAATAACTGGTTGAAAAGTGGACACACCCACTTCCTGGCCCTACCATTAACTTGCACCCAGATCCACCACTGTGTATATTATCTTGTAGAGGATCTGTGCTACTAGATGATACTAAGAACTGCTAAGAAGAGATTCAGGAAGCTTTTATTAACGACTCCATTGAACCGTGTGTCAGCCAATGTGGCTTATTTCCTCAACTGTTTACTAGTAAGATATGCAGTGATAATAGTACACTAACAATACATTTGTACATAATGTACATGTAACTTTAATTTTATCATTATTTGACTTAGCTCTTTTTTATTTTTTAGACTGATACTGAAGAGATTGTTTCTGATGAAGTAAGTACTGTACAGTACTATTGTCTCCTACTCTCCTGTTGTATCATTGGTCCTCTCTCTCTCTCTCTCCCTCTCAGGTTGCTGCTACAAAAAAGAAGTCCAAGAAGAAGAAGGGAGGAGGAAGTGGTGGTGGTGGTGCTAGTGGTCCAGTCACTAAAACTACATCTGCTGGAAAAGGTGTTGTGCTATATCTTTTACAGCATGTGTGACATACAGAGCATAATGTGCATTCACTCTACATGTATATGAACATGTAATGACTGTATTATGTTACTATTAATGTATGGAGCCATTGCAGTGCATTTATCATGATCAAAGGCCATATGCAGTGTATGTTTACTTTACCTTTTACTTTGTACAATAGCTGCAATTGATAATATGCAACTTGTACATGTCATAGATAGTAGACACGGAACGGGATAGGAAACTAGCCTATAATAGTAGCAATTTTCACCTTCAATCCTTGTTTTCCGTGACCTGGCGGGTAGTGCAAAAAAACCACGCCTATTACCACACCCAGCTTTTGTTTCTATGGTAACGCGTGGTGTGCTTTATTTAGGATAATAAATAAAATGGCGACCTTAGCATCTCACTCCAAAAAAAGGCCCATTTCTTCTGTATCAGGAGACAAAGAAAGGGCAGGTATGTTTTATCATGTTTGATTCTTGTTATATTTATGTCATATACTGTTTTAGAAGCCTTTGATGTATTGAGGAGTGCTGTGAGTGCCATTTTGAAGGATAAAGGATTCACTCTGCCTTCTGAGAAAGCACAAAGGGCGAAACTCTGCTCTGAATGTCTTTTAGAGTGGATGGAGGACAATAAACAGGCATCAGAAGACTTCTCGTTCAAGCTTATAGTATCTTTGAAGTCTTGTTGCCACCAGGTTAAACCTCGTACACATCGACAGAGAATGTGGGAGAATTATTACAAATACTGTTGTTCAAATGACCTGAAATCAGCTTGGGATACCTTTCTAAAAGCAAGCATCGGATTTAATGCCTGCCCAGTTTTTTTTCTATTGGTAACAAAAGTTACAATGAATGAAGTCATCAAACAGTATTTTTTTATCCCCAATGGTGAGTGTTTTCAACAAGAAGTTGCATCACTTGGATATGAAGAAGTGAATGCCCTTCGCTATTCCTCTGGCTATGTCATACATTCACTTTTAAAGTAAGTGAAGAGATCTAATCACCCTAAGAAAGAAGAATTGATACTCTGTTTGCAAGAAGTAAAGGAAAAAGAAGGTAAAATACCCCATGTGCATGTTTTTCATAATCATGGTTGTTTTATCCATACATGTAGGTATTGACAGTAGTATTGAAAATTCTGAAGAGTGGACAAATAAGTTGGATTGCGGCGGATTGGTACACATTAGCAATGAAACCTACTTGTTTTTTGTATCAATGGAAATCGAACTTCGCAAACATTTAAAGATGTCTATGAATGGGAAAGATAAACTGATTCAGGAATTACTCGAGAATGATGATGTGCAGTATTACTGGAGCATTGTTGCAGCTAATTAGGGTTACGAGGGTGATGTACTGCTGAGGCTTGATATAGAGCACTGGATAACAATTCGTGGCTTTTCTTGTGTGAGTGCATTTCTGGAAAAACACAATCAAAGGAATAAGCGATCCATTGAAAAAAGTATGGCACTTAGAAAGAATCTTGCTGGCACCAATACATCTACTACTACTGCAACTGCTTCCACTGATGAATAAGGATATTTAATATTTTCATTAAAAATTACAATTATTGTTACTAATGGCATTAATTTTTATCTGCATTATTATTATGAACTTTACGTCTCTTTGGTAATGGTACACAGCAGACTTGGGTCAAATACAAATAGTATTTGTAATTAGTCGTATTTAAATACTTTTGAAAGTATTTGTATTTGTATTTGTAATTTGAGTTTTTGCAACAGAAAGTATTTGTATTTGCAATTGAAATACAGCAGGGAAGTATTTCAAAATACAGCAAAATACTTTAAAATACTTCAATGTGGATGAAGATGCTGTTTGAGTGACAAAATTTTGAAACACTAACGTTCACTAAATGCAATACATGACTATAACTAAATATTATTGATTATACATGCATGCATAATGAAAAGAGGCTTTCAATTTACTTGATTGATTAATTTATAAAACTATGTAGTTAATAACTGTTTATACTTGAGAACAAAGTATTTGTATTTGTAATTGAAATACATGTATGCTGTATTTGTAATTGTATTTAAATACAAAGCTGAAAACAGTATTTGTATTTGTATTTTTGTTTTTGTACAGAATTTGTATTTGTATTTAAATACTTCCGCGTTGTATTTGACCCAAGTCTGGTACACAGTCACTTGAATTGTCAAAATTTTGGATGTTTTTGGTACTTCCTCTACAGTTTCCTCGAACAGGACCACGACACAGCGACTGTACTACCCTCAAAGATTGTGTATTATTTTGAAAGTCATGAACTGTAGGATTGTCATGTGTCCCTCCTCTTTGGCGTTGACAGCCAAAATAGTTTTCTGACACAAATTATTACTTAGAAAACAAAGCTTGTTACTGGTGACTTCAGGTAAGGAGAATAGATAAGTGATGAAGTCAATAAATGATAAGACTACAAATTAAAGTCCATTGTAAGTAAAATTCAACTTAACATTTTAATGAATACCTGTTCTTCTTATACCCAAGAGTGTTTCCTGACTTAACAGCATGAGCTTCTTTTCAGCATCTGTAAAACCTTGACGAGCATTCACACTAGCTTCCAAATAAGGTAGAAACTCCTCTTTAAGCCACTGCATGTGAACATTATCATAGATAGTAGATGATACAAGATT